TATAGGAAGGATCGAGGTATGGTTTAAGTCTAAAACGGGACCATTTCATTTAGTTTGGAGCTCACGGAAAGAGCAAGACGGAGTCCTAAAACGGTTACTATGGTTACTTTCGATGTATGAATATTTTCTCACCGAAAACTTTGAACTGTCTTGAAAATCCACTCCCGAAGTGTTCTTTAGCACTCACTTCGTAGGTAGAGAACATTCGATTCAAACGCTCAACTGAGCAGTCCCCCCTCTAAGGCGAATTCCGAAGATAGGTTCTCCTTGCCCGCTTTGATCCCGCGCAAGAAAAAAATTGTTGACTTACTGAGTTCGTAATTCTTCGACAATAGAGGTCGGCGATAGAGACGCAAAAACCGTCAGAGAGTCAAAGCAAAGGAAACGTAAACGACTCTCGTGGGTTTATTCGGTACAAAAACAAGTTGGTTTCCTTTTCTGGTGTGTATTTTTGACAGCTTTAACTCCCTAATGACAAAAAAGACCACGCGTTGTATGATCTGCATTGCAAATAACTTTTTTTCTCATTTAAGACTCGTCTTAGCCCTGACATGTTTCAACCACGCGGAGCTTTGCAGAAATTCGCTTTCGTGCTTATTTTAAAGCTATTTGTATATTTGTAAGCGGGATAAGTGGTTGCCTAACATTGGGCGCTTTCCATTGGACCAAAAATTCTGGTTTGAAATTCCGGGTATTTCAAGTGACGAATAGAACAGTATTTTCCGGTTGGTTGGACCAAGTCGTCCCAGGCCAACATGTTTCAAGTTTCGCGCGAAAATGAACAATTAAAGGAGAAAAAATTGGCGGACTCTTTTTGTCTCTTTTACTTGCTTTGGAGTTGCTTGACGACTCTGAAGTTGAATCAAGCGATGTATTAGGCGAGGACGACGATATAACGTTGTTCAGTGTAGCTAGCTGTTACATGCGTAGGAATTGAAATCGAGTCTGCGACTTTTTGAGGGCACGATNCCTTTTGGTTATTTAGCAAATAACCAATTTTCAGTTTTGGTTATTTACAAATAACCAATTTTCAGTTTTGGTTATTTAGCAAATAACCACTTTGCAATTTTGGTTATTTAGCAAATAACCACATTCATGTTTTGGTTATTTATAAATAACCAATGTCTCGTTTTGGTCATTTATAAATAACCAAACTGCAATGTGGTTATTTACATATAACTATACTTGTTTTGGTTATATACAAATAACCACTCTAAATAATAAAAATACATTTGGCGCCCCATAGGAGAGCACCTAAAGAAGCTAGAGTTGCTCGAGGCGTAGCTGAGAGCAACTCTTACGCATCTTTCGTACTCTCCAAACTTCCCGCGTGCTTCATATCTCGATGAACGCACGTAGACGTATGAACCAATTGTTAATTAATATATGGAAAAATTAGATGCTTGTCGCAGGGTGAAAGAGTTAAAACACAGACAACGGCATAGCCTGCATTACAGGCGAATTATTAGGGCTTAACGATCGTTTGCTTGATTTTGAGTTAGAGTCGACGGTGGGGGTAGCGGGTGGGGAAAGGCAAAACATTTATTGCCCCACCCCCCTTCTTTCTCCTGTTTTCTGCCATTTTCGCTCTCCACCTTATATTAGTACAAATTTATTTCTTACCCAGCCTTTCACTGCTGTAAAAATCAAAGATGGTAGCTACAATTACTGAGCACCAGCCCGCCAAAATTACTCACATGCACTACTAGCAACTTATCGTCAATTTTAAACAATAGCGATCCTCCAGCCCTATCTCTCCCCAATGAACTTAACTGATTCGTGTTACTTTTATCTGTAGTCTTGAAGTTTTTCTTGTTGTACTTTGCCTATCAAATTAATTCTGTATCACTCCTTGGGAAGTCACACAACGGAAAAGTGCCACAACAGACCAATAACAAGATAGAGTTCATAAAAACAGATCAAAACAGGTCAGCCTACGACTATTTGTGCATGTGTGTAACGGTTTTCGAAAGCCGTTCACGGCTAATCCAAGAGGGGTTCTACACATGCGTTATTACTCAGTTTCTTTGCCCCTTAATTACACAGTAACATCAGTCGATATTCTTCATAGGTGCTGTTCTCTAAACATTTCCTAAGATGCTGCCAGACAAGGAGAATTTGTTTAACAATCAAGAACTTTTTTTAAAGTTGGTGATCATTTCCTGTGTCCTCGTGACCTTCAAAGTTTGATCTGAAGGGAGGGGGGCGTGAGTTAAAGATAAATTT